CTTTTTGGGCTAACGATTTTCCCCTTCCATGGTTTCTACATACTCTAAAGTGGATGTCATTTAGAGTTTGCAGGGCAACTTCCGATGTGACACACAAGCTATATGGTCCAAAATAGGAACACCGATAAAGCTTTCCATAGATTATCGTGTATCTTGATGCCTTTTGAATTAACTTTTTGGCTAGGTTGTGATCTTCTAGTAGTTTGTTGTCTCGTATATAGTTAATGATCTCTTCCATCTAGTTTTCTTAAACATCGATAACAGCGACTACCTCTTATTTTATTTCGTGGACGCTGGGGACTTCCAGGTATTCAAAGGGAATTGTTTGTCGTAGGGAGTAATCTACGTTCAAGTCTATTTCGGTGAATGAGTCATGATGGTTTTTCTCTCCCCTTGGTCTCTGTATGATCTCATGTTTTTCAAACTTTTCAAAGAGTGCCTTTGCCTTATTTAGGTAAAGCCCCATGGTAAGGTGATGAGTGGGTGTAATCTCCTATGACCTGGTTAACTATGAGCATGGAATCATAGTGAATTAGCAATTTTTTTTACCTAAAATTATTTCTTCGTAAATGAGGTGAGGTCTTTTGGTTAGGGGGTCTCCTTTTTTAGGTCAGATGAACAAAAAAACGAACTCTCTCTACCATTTCTAGTGACTAACCTTGTAACCAGAAAGGGCTCAACTTGGTCATACTAGTAGGGCTTCGTACTCAGTCCCGTTGTTGCTTGCTTTGAATCCTAGCTTAAGGGCTTGTTTAAGTATGGAGCCATTTGGTGTTTGTAATACCATTCCTGCATCGGCTCCATGTATGTTGGATGACCTATCTACATAAAGCTTCCAGAGGCGAAGGTTGCCTGGGGATTTTGAGAACTGATTGCTTCTTTCGCACCTTGCGCAACAGTGGTAAACTTCGCTACAAAGTGTACCAAGGCTTGGGCCTTCATTGATGTCCTGGGATGGTAGACTATCTCATGTTGCACCAATTCGACAACCCACTTTGTAACTCTGCATGAAGTGTCAGGGTTGTGTAGGATAAACCTCAGCAGGCATCATGTAGACCACTCTAAATGACTAGAAATATGGCCAAAGTTTCCTTGTTGTTGTTATAATGGCCGAAGTTTCCTTGCTGTAGTATATTATTTTATGCTCCCTCAAGTTTTTTCAGATCAATGTTGCACTTACTGCGTTATCCCATATGGCCAGATAAAGGTATAGATCATTTCCATCGATGAGTTTAGACAATAGTGGAGGTTTTAAAAAGGTATTCTTTGAATTTTGTGAAGGCCTCTTTGTATTCGTTTGTCCATAAGAGGCCCTTGTTTTTCTTTGTTGCCGTAAAGTACAGTTTGCATTTGTCGGTGGACCTTGAAAGGAATCTGCTGAGAGCGGCTGCTCATCTAGTCAAACTTTATATTTCCTTCATGGTTCAATGTGACCTTATTTCTATGATGGCCTTTATATTACCTAATCGTCCGCCGCTCAGCCCGCTTCTCTTCCTTACAGCATCGATCAACTCTCTGCATTCTAGTTTCTGTTCACCATTGCACCAACGGGCGACGACATCGAAGGCTGGTCTGGACTCTGCACTGAAGGCTGGTCCTCTTCTTCTTGGTCGAAGAGGTTTGTACTCTCTTTGACTCTGTCCATTAAATAATATGTTGCTTTTTTCGTATGTAGATGATATTTTCTGTGATTGAGACTCGAGAGGGCAATTTGAATGATTTTTGTGAAAAGGTTTAAACTTTGATGTTGTAAATTGTGAAAATTGAGTCTTGATTCTATGTTAGTTGTGTTCACTTATTCGTGGTTGTAGAATTTGCATTCTTGGAGTGAATAGAGTTACATTTTCCATGAAACTGGATGCTTTACAGACAAATGTTTTTTCGATTGAGTTGAGTCTATTTGCATTCTTAGAATTAGCGAATTTAGAGGAAAAGGGTCTGGAAATCAACTGTGTTGGATCAAAGTCCAAGTGTAAAGAGTTTGTTTGTTAATATTGAGTTGAGTCTGTTTGCATCTCTATTAAAGCATGATGTAGCACAGTAGCCGTATGTATCGCATTTGTTCTTTTGCATCATGTAATTGACATTACTGCATAAAACTATGATTTTGGAGTATGTTTTGAAGCGTCGAACAAGTCTCAACCTTGAATACAACCAAGGTGCTTAGCTAGAAATGTTAACAGTGAGATTGAAACTTCATTAGAATTGAGTTTTAGTTGCAGAGGTGTGCGGGGTGATTGAAACTTCATTTGTATTGAAACTTAATTAGAATTGAGTTTTAGATTGAAACTTCATTTGTATTGACAATGAAACTATCATGACACATTTTCAAAGTATGAGATCCCATCGTAGACAAATTTAGTATTTCTAGCTTGTTTGTCACAAAGATTATGAATGAAAATTGTAGTTTGCCATTTATTTGTTCAATAATATTTTCGTCTTGTTATTATTAATTTTTTTTTTTGAAGCTTTTATATTGAAACCATCCTAAGTTAAAATCCTGGATCCGCCACTGACTAGAAGTCAATGATAAATTCAAATAAAATGAGGTCTAAACATGAGTATTTATCTACGCATGAGTATATTTACTTAAAAAGTAAACTCTTAATGTAGCTTAATTCTGACCCATTTCCCACTCACCTTCACCACTTAAGCTTGACCCAATAGCCTCCAAAATTGTCCATTAAAAAATAAAAATGACACTCATTTGTTTCTAACAAAAGATTAGGGTTAGCCATTTGATTATTCCTTGACAACTCTCAGTCTTGAATATGTGATTTGCCATATAATTTTAAAATTAAAAAATATGAAGCCAGAGCATATAAGGTTATGAGATGGTGACGAGCCACTTATTTAAATTTTGTAATACTTCTACACAAAGCATGTTAGAAAGGTATAAGCATATATAATTGGAAACTTTAATGAAAAGCTCTTAGTACTGTTCACTTTAACGAAAAATCATATTTTTACACTAAAAAGTCAATCCTGATACTATTCACTTTACCTTTTATTTTGTCATTATCGTTAAAACTCAAAATTCTCAAACAATTTTCATTAGTTTTCTTTATATAATTAAGGTAACGTTCATAGCACACAACATAATACAGTTTAAATCCAGATCTGACATTGTAAAATGAGCCTTGAAGATTGGATTAATTCTAAGACGACAGAAGGTAGCCTTTAAACTAGAGGGCAAAGGACAAGTTTTGCCAACAAAATGGGAGACAATGCCCTTTGACCAAGCGTTCTTCTTCCTCTGACTAACCCATGATCCTAATTGCAATGCTTCACTTCAAGTACCTGCTAAAGTTGTCACAGTTGTCAATTGGGAATCCGCCACTTGTCGAAAGCACATTAGCTTAAATCCTGGAAAATTCAATCTGGATAAAGGTAAACCATGTGCAACTCTAGTGTGAAGGTCAATAGTCCTAATAGCTTAGGGATGTGGTGAGAATCTTTATTCTTTCTTGCATAATTTAGGGTTGGAATAAACAAACTTTTATTCTTTCAGTACAGTTTAGGGCAATCCAAGGATTAGTGGAAAAAAAAATAAAAAAATAAAAAAACTTGATTTGTACACTAAAAAGAGAATAGGTGAACTTAATTGGGAGGTCTAGTGACACCAATTATATGGAATAGCTTAAAATAGAGGACAAGTAATATGAGAATTAAACTATTAAAATAATATGTCAAACGACATATATAGGAAATAGCAAAGCGTAATGATGTGAGTTTCACTTGTTTATTTAATTAAAAACTTGCCATTGGATCCCAACATCTTTTGTTTACTTTTAAGATAAATGAAAAGATGAGGATGAATTGAATAGTAATTAAGAATGTGAGAATAACTAAATGCTCTCTATTGCTGGTTATACTTAAACTCAAGAAAACAATGTTAGATAACTTGACCTTTCTTGCAACTCAAGGGGCATTCTTACATTACTATGAAGTTGTTATTTGCTCGATACGATGATGTAGTGTGCATATGACTACGTTGAAGGGGTGTTAGAGCAAGTAAACGCTCCTCTTTACCACTATGTCTACAATTAAACTCTTAGAAACAATGTTAGATAACTTGACCTTTCATTCATTTCAAGGAGCACTCTTATATCACGCTGAAGTTTTTATCTCTTCATTAATGACTAGACTGAAGGACTGTGAGAGCAAGTAAACGTTCTTTACCGCTATAGCTACAATTAATTCAAGCAAACAATGTTGGATAACTTGACCTTCCTTGTAATTCTAGGCATTCTCAAATTAGTATCAAGCAGTTATATGTTTAATTCAATGATGTTGTGTGCAAATTTAGAATTTATATAAAAAAATTAAAAAAATTAAAAAAACATGTGGGAATAACATCTTCTCATGTTTTTTGTTTTTCCTTTTTGTTCTACCACCACCAATCAAAAACCAGAGAAGGGCTGCGTTGGAAAGATCATATGGGAGTTGCTATCTCACCCATATCATGACATGTGAGACTGTCAAGCATGCTCCTTATTTGGACAGATAAAACATTTAACTCATTTTGCATAAAAGAAAGAAAAAAAAAACTTATAAAAGTGTCTGCCACATTTGACTAATGTGGAAATATGAAACTTTTTCCATCAATTATCATCCACTCATCCCTCTTTACAAGTGAATGAGATTGGCCACCCACAGCCCCAAGCAAAAGAAATATTAGTTATTATCTGTAAAGTATTTTTTGTTTTTAATACAAGGATGTATTTACCGTTGTGAAATTTGAATTAAGCAATACAATATGTAAAGTCATAATAATTTAGTATCGAATTAGTCATTCCGAAAAAAAAGATAATACTAAACTGTAATGCTAATTGACGTTATACTAATGCAAAGAGATTAAAATCTTTTTTTTCTTGCATTTTTAATTTAAAAGATGACAAATCTGAGTAACATGAGATGTCTACAAGACATACGCATAAAACAAGCTCTCCCTAATATAAATGCAAACATCTCCATGTGGATTCTAACTGTATGCAAGTAAATCCACAAATTTAAAAAGGGTTTATAATTACGGCATCCTTTCAACCTTCATTGCCATGCTGAAACATGTTTAACAGTTAGCAACATAACCCTTTTGCATCTTTCACTCACTGGTAGTAGTATTATTAGTAGTACTGCTCCTACACTTCTCTCTATCTAATTAGCTCTAATGGATCCTAGAATCTCCTTCTCCAATGACTTTGCAGACACTCAACAGGCCATCAAGCACGAATCAAGCTACCGGGAAGCGCCCGTCTCATCGGATTTCGAATTCTCCGTGGACAACTTTGGTATGATCTCGGCGGACGAGATCATATTCAAGGGCACATTGTTGCCCTTAAAGGATAATGGTGCCAACAACCAGCTAGGGAATAAGACTACTACTTTGAGAGATGAGCTACTTGCTGATGATGAGGATTATGGGGATGTGTTGCCAAGAGCAACAAATAGTTTGAACAGATGGAAGGAGCGTTTGGGGCTCAAGAGGGCTCAAATTGTTCAAAAAAATGGCGATAGAGGTCATTCGGTTTTGGAGAGGATTGCTGAAGAGAGGAGGCCTGTGTTTGTTCATGAGGCTGTGCTTATTAGCAAGGAAAGCCAGGTAAGTTAAGATGCATTTTTTTTCATTTATTATTCAGTTTTTTTTTTTTTTTTTTATCTGTCCATTTGGTGTTTTTATGTAACACGGAAACCAATTGAAATCCTCTAATCTACGATTTGTGGTTTACAGGAATTTCTATTTGGAGGGTTCAATTGCAGAGATGATGGAATCTGATGATATGGAAAGTTGGTATTTTTATGCAAGGAAAATTAATTCCTGCTAACTTTTAAGGTATATTGATATTAGAGAGTGGTTTTTATGAGGAATTGTATGAGTTTTAGGGTTTGGCGCAATTCCCAGTTCTATTTTTTTTTTTCTCCATTTATTTCTAGACAACATTTTCATCCTCTCTCCTCCAAAGAAGTAGAAGATGATGAACAAGAAGAAGAAGGTATATTTGGCTGTTCCATTTTGTACAAGTGTATGCAGTTGATGGAGAAGTTCTATGAGTTTTTATGTAATTAAATCTACAGTGTTGATCTATCTGATTGTGGTTTATTTTGTTTCACATTATAATTCCTTAAAAGTTGGCCCAAATGATCATTTTTCAAATTTTAATTCCTGAAATGGTCAATTTTAAGTATGTTGTCGATACTTTTCACTAGGTCATAAATATTTAGTTTTATTCAGTTCAACAACTGAAATTCGATTTTAAATCATTTAAACCGGTTTTTCTCTTTTCTTCTCTTTTATCTTTGTAAAGTATCTCAAATGCCCAAGTAATGCTACGTTACATTAAAGGTTAGTAGTATTAGCATTGTCCTACATGATCCTTTGGAACCTGTGATGCATAAATACATAGGCATCCCTTTTTTGTAAGCCCTCATGTCATGGGAATTGATCAAGTGGGTGCTAGTAGCACCGTGCTACTGAACTTTCCAACCAAATGGCCACCCTCTTCAAGGAAGAATCACGAAATGATGGATCCCTAGGCTCTTGACCACGGTGCAACTTTGGCGGAATTGCACTTGTCATCCACCTGGTTTAGGACCGTGAATCGGCCCAAACGATTTCAGTTCGGCTTGTTTAAATTCGCATTCTATGTCGAACAAGCGCTTGAACAAAATATTAAAAGGAAAACTAACGAAAAATCTAAAAAAAAATTCAGTTTTAATGAAAAAGGACAAATAAATATGTAGTGAATAGTACCAGGCAAAGGTAAAAATATGGTTTTTCGTTAAAAATGAACAGTACCAGTAGCATTTTGTTAAAACTCCCAATATTAAACTAGTTAGAAAAATGAACCAAGCTTGAGTTTTGATATTTTGGGCTCATAAAGTTCCTAAACAAATTGTATCTTTTACAAGACTTGTACAACTTGACTTATTCGTTAAAACTTGACTCGTAAATGATCCTTTATCTTTTTTACCAATCCGATCAATTGTCCTTAGGGAAAGAATCAAGAATAATCATATACTTTTGAAGATAAAAATATATTGTTTTGCACTACAATTTGGAGTCTACGACAATGTTTGGACGTGGGTATCATATAATTATTATATTTATCTTTAGGATTAAGTACTTAAAATCCTTCAATCTTTTGGTGTTATTCCAAATTAGTCTCAATCTCTCCAAATATTTCAAAAGAATACCCAACATATAGGAAATATCACTTCCGTTAGGTCCTAATAAGCTAGGAGAACCGTTAACTACTTACGTGGCATTCATCGTCATGTTTTTAATGACGTGGACAAATCCCATGAAGCAATTATTAATGACATAGAATTCATAGTCAAATTAGTCTCAACCATCTGAAAGTCCTCTTTAAAAGTTGTTTCAACAAATTTGGGAGCACTCTAGCATTTAAAAGAACTATATGTATAGGACTAATCCATATAGGATTTGGTTTGTACAACAACATTCACAAGGAATACATGCACAAATCAGTAAATGACCGAGTCTAACAAGTGCTTCTGCTGATCACTCTTGGACTGTGTACTAGAAAGTCATTGGTTCATCAAATATGACACCACTCTAATATCTTCAGTTTACAAGACTTGATATTTTCAGTATGCAGTATTTGCTGGCATACTGAATTGGTCAATGAGTCAAATCTTGTAATCATGTGCTTTCTTAAAAATATAAGGGAATGAGGAAGCTCACCCCACTAATGGCATGTTTACTAATCCGTAATTAGATTGAGGAGAATAGAATAAAGGAGGATTAGATTGAGGAAGAATTAGAATCAGAATCTTGTGGAAGTTATTTACTAAACTATTAGGAATCAGAGTATGAATGATTCTAATTCCATAAAAGCTATTTAATGAATACCCTTGAATCGGAATTAAAACCAATATAGTTACTAAATTGTCCATGTTCTAAATAAGTTCATTTATATGATAGGTGATAACTTCAATTTCCTTAACAACATATAAATAATAAAAACTTTCCACCTCTAATCCATAATTTTTTTTGACCGTTTTCCACCTCTTTAAAACCTGAATTTTTTTTATCTGGAAAAATGACCTATTTTGTGGGATTCTCGCTCTGCAATTAAGCGTTTCTCAAACAGCTATAAATACGCCCTAGACAGACTTTAATTTCTCTAACTGCCTTTGTTTAGGCCATCATTTCCAAACTGCTATAAATACACCCCAAGGAACCTCCCACCAAGCAATCCAATTCCTCCAAAAGGAGGAGCCGAATTCCATTTTTCATGTGGCCCCTCACAGTCTTAATTCCTGTGTCTTAGTAAACATAAAAACGATCCATAATCGGAATCGAACTCCTTATTTTCATTCCGAGTACGGGTGCACAAACACGCCTTAAGACCCAATACAAGAGGAAACTTGAAATGTTCGGATTCGCTACTCCTCATATTACCAATTGATTTTATGGTGAAACCTCAACTTCATATTTTAATATGAGTTGTTCATGTTGTCGCCTGGTTTTCGTATAGAGCAATCAAAGCATTGTTCTCCGCATTAACATCAAGATACTCAATCGCCCCCTACTCCCAAGCGTCGGTTGGAGATCAAATCATTAACTTGCCAAACACGTATCTGCAGCTGTTAATTCTTTCTCCGGGCTAAACTAATGTACGAATAGCTGAATGAATGATTTGTTCAAGAAAGATACGAAACAGACTTATAAAAACCAAGAAAAAAGATTACGAGGAGAAGATCCTATCACAAAGCCACAACAAATCTTGCTGACTAACTAGCAACCTTGCTCCTTGAGATGCAATAATTGAATGAATAAATATTTACAACAGACAGAAAGCTAAGAATTATGGGCACTATTTGGACATTTACATTTTGTACAAAACTACCTGATCGTCTTGCTCCAATGGAAAGAATCCGGTAACTCTACACCTGCAATTGATAGACCAAGCGTAACTACCTTGTAAATCAAGCCACATTTATAAAATGAAAAGAAATCCTGTAGATAGATATTTTTACTATAGCAGTTTCTCTGTTTCCCGTTATCTAACAAAGGCGATGGGAAATTATAGTTACATAGGCTTGGTCATGAGCAACTGACATCATTATCGTTCATAATAAATCAAATCCGATTTGAGAGACAGACACCCACACACTCACACAAACGTGTTTTGCAAAAACCTTTATTTAACATGGACAGAAAGATCAACTCACATGATACGTAAGTTCTAACGCAAGAATAGATGGCTCATTACTGATCTCCTCTTCTCCAGGAATACAACTAGTTCAATATTTCAGTCGTGAGTTTAATCACCTACAGTAAAAGAAAAAAACAACAACAACAAACACAGTAAGCTACCAATCTGGGATGTGCTGTGTGATAGATCTGCAAGAAATATTCAGCTCAAAAGATAGCAGTATTAATCAGAGAATTATTTGACTGAACCATTAGTTTTGTTCCCTTGGATGAGGGGGACCCTGATATTTCTCAATGGACTCTTTCTTTCGCTCAGGATCAAGGCTGCACACACGAGCGCCACATTAAATCTTGGTTTTTGAAATTAGTGTCAAATATATTATGAAATGATTGTATATTGTCATAATGAACAAAACAAAATAAAGAATACAGGAGTAACCTATTTCTGATGCCAAGAAGAGCACAATGCACAGCACTAGCACAAGCAGTAGCCGGAGCTATAGCAGCTGCAGGAACTGCCCGAACAGCAGTTGTCAAAGCTGATGTTGCACCAGCTCCACGCTGGTATTTTTTCAGGGGAGTCTGGACCAAGGCAGAAGCAGATTTCCCCAGGCCATCACTAAGGCTTTCATAAGCCTGTCAAAGAGAGACAATTAACTTGTTTTCAGGATCATTTTCTTTTATATCAAGTTTGATCCCAACAGAACAGCTCTGGATTGAAATTTCAGAGTTTGAAAGACCTACAATTTTACTCCCCCACTGTTGGGAGTTTAGGACAACTATTTCTAAATATTTGCAAGCAACCAAGGTTGGTATATTCACCTGATGAATTCCTTCTTGAGCATCTTTAGGTTGATTTGATCGAACATTGGTTTTCATTTTATGTGCTGCAGACCATGACGCAGAAGGAATGCCTGTAAGTAAATATTCCCCTTGGAGCAAAATATCATGAGTCCCAGCGGCCAAATGTACTCCAAGTCCAACAGCTTCAACAGAAATACTTCTAAGAAATGCAATTATACCTGGAAGCAAGTAGACTGTCATGAATACTAAATTATTTAATTAATGAAAATATGCCAGTGACAAGTGATAACACGGCTTTATATACTATTGAATAACCAGAAAGAACCCAATTATCTAAACTCAGTTAATTGACACTGAAGTTCGATATATACCTTGAGTCAAGGATCAAATTTAAGAGCTATTTTGTATTTTGTTTTATTGTTTTTACATAGTTCAACAAAAATACGAACACCTAAACTGGCATGCACATGTTTACATTGAATGAATTCAACTTACCTCTTTGCATTCCCTTAAGTAGTCTCTTGTCTTTCTTATAACTCTCAATTGGCAAAGAAACCAACTTCCTTGCACCAGAACTAACTGCTACCAATGACCGAATGGTTGGAAGACCTTGCAGTATTTTACAAACCTACATAAATACAGTAACTTGTTATAAATACACTAGCATTTGAAAGGGGGCAGAATTCCAAAAAAAAAGTAAAGGTAAAGTCATTAAAACCTGATTTTGAGAAATATATTCTAGCCACTCTCCTACAATTGTCTCACATACGCTACCCCAGCCATACATACCAACAGCATGAACATGCTTAAGCTGTAGCTCAACGCCCTGGATTTATTTGTGAAAGTATGGCCAATAAGTTCCTCAGTAAATTTCAATGAAAAGAAGAATTTAAACACAGGCAATGGAACACAAAGATCAGATAATTAGATACCAAGATTTTGAAAGAGATGCACAACAAGATGAACAATATGACTGAGTGGCAGAAAAAAACCAAAAAAGGAAATCTCAATTGCTTACAAATTTATAAATATTGCACTTCTTAAAAGTTTTAAAAGTTATATCCCACTTCATTGAAGTTTTTAGAGCTATAAAAATATGTACTTGTTTGTGTGCATGGGGTATATACATTTATATCGAGTGGGCTTCATTCAAACCGTTCTGTTTACTTTATTAATCCCAGAATTACAGACCTCTAGTAAATGGTATATGCAAATTTTCCAAGCTTTTTATAAAAGAAAAATGAAACTAAAACTCCAATTTCTTGAATCAAATTGACAGATAGGACAAGCAGCATCAAATAAAGACACAAAAAAAAAAAAAAAAAAAAAAACCCATTAAAATTTTTAGATCGATAGCTAAACTTTGCATGCTGGATAGGAAAAATAAAAAGGAAAACTAATGAAAAGGGCTTGAAAACTTTGAGTTTTAATGATAAGGACAAAATAAAGGGTAAAGTGAATAGTACCAGGATTGACTTTTTAGTGTAAAAATGTGGTTTTTCGTTAAAGTGAACAGTACAGGGTGCTTTTCGTTAAAGTTCCCAAAATAAAAAGGTCAGAAGTTAATGACAACCAAACAGAAGTGGCAGAATCATGGAGTCATGGTTTACATGGAAGAACAATAAAAATCATGGGAAGCAATACCAGGAGCAAAGAATAGTATCCTTAATGAGATTATGTAACAATTTTCTCTCTTTTCACAATCAGCTCTACAAGGACGAATAAGTATCAAGTATAGCCTTTTTATACCCTTGTACATAACCTCACAATGTCAATATAAGAAGCAAACCATTTACCTTCCATGGGACAAGATTTACAAGTTCTACATACTTCCCGCCTCTTAATGCTGCCAGATCAACGCAGCTGGGACTGTAGTCAACCCGAACTAGAATAGGCCATATATCGAACTTCTGAAGGGGAAAAAACGAAAATGTAAGCAGTTTGAGCATGTATTTTCACATCATCATTTAGAAAAATCACAGGGCATAAATTCTAAAAATGAACATATTGAAAATTGACTTAATCAGAGCAACCTAGAAATGCACAAGCAGCAAAGACAACAAATTGGATGTCAGCTTGCTTCACTATTCTCATTTCTAATAAAGAACCATCAACTAATCAGTGTCAAAATACTCACAGCCTACATAGAGCTGTCTGCGAGTTGAAAAGAGACACAAACTAGTGCGTCCCTTCACATACTTTACATATAAGAGCATAAAAATTTACGGGCATCACCTCCTACCTGAGCACCAGTTCTCAGGATCCATTATCCCATGAATTTCATTGACTATTTCTGTGAACTACGCAGAAAAATTTGATACCACTCTTTTGTATGTATTTTTCTATTTCCCATTCGTTTTTCTTCCTTTTGAAACAAAGAGGATATAATCATTACAATGGAGATTGGCTTCGAACATGCCCAATGGGAATACATGTTTGAGGACATCAGCAGTCTCAAAAAAAGAAAATAATGCAGTTGACCCAATTTACTGGGAAAAGGCAAGTTTAAAATGTTATTATCCAAATTATTGGAGGATATATATAGTAACAAACTATCTAGATCAAGTATGAAACCAAATACAATAAGTCAAATATGAATGCTGCAAATCTACTGCCTACAATCTGTATTTACTCTTTAGAATCAACTCTATTAATTACATGAGATTTCTTGCTTGATCTTTAATCAAAGAATTCTGCTTCAACTAATATCAGCCAACAAAGCTTAACCATACAAGACTGATATTTCCCATGCAAACACACATAAAGCTGAAAGTTACATTTAGGTTGAAAGCTAAAACTCAAAGAACACCAGGGAGAAGGAAACAACTTGCCTGAAAATAAGGAAGAAATGCCTCCTCTCCAATGATACGCCCTGCAACATCATTACTTTTTACTGGCAAGATTTTTGAACCATCAGCATCTTGACGATCACCCGAAGACTGATCAGTTGAAGAGCTCTTGGCCGCAAAGAAGTTAATGAGAAAATCAAGTTGGGACTGATGAAGATGCAATCGCATGGGAAGGAGTGCAACACGTAACCTAAAAGGAAAGAATATAAGAACCAAGACTCAAATAATACTGTTACATCACCATCAATCAAGCAGATTTGTAAAAGCAACTTAACCATGCGCTAATTATAATATAAAGCAGAGGGAATACCGATACTCTTCAAGAGGAGTTAAAGGATCTGGTCTGACAGATTCTAAGTCCATCTTGAATGCTTTTGAAGATGATTTTCGAGGTCGGTCCTTTGAATGATAATATCCGAGTACCTTCCAAACAAAAAAGGTAAAAGATAATTAATCAATTTTGTAAAGCACAAAAAGTAAAATTTTGGTGTGAAAGCATATAGCACGTTTACCAGTTTCCAAGGAGCATCTTTGCTCCTGTCATACATAGAAATCTTGAACTGAAAGATAAAGCTTAGATACACAGATTCCACCGACAGGAAAAATGTCATACTGAAACTCCATTCCGGATACTGCAAGCTCTAAACATACAGTAGCATCCCTTCCACTAAAATCCACTGATCGCTGACCAGTTGCTCTAGAATCGTGCCAGTCTGACCCAGAAAGCATTCTCCACCTAACATCAATGTTCTTAAGAAGTACACATCCAATGGCTTTTCCAAAATCATTGCACTTTGTACCTTCAATAAAAGGAAGATTGTCTTCTACAGATTCTTTCAGACTATTTTCACTCGCTTCGGGAATGTGGTCTTCTAAAACTCGAATGGAAGTACCATACCATCCATTACTTTCTCCTCCAACATCTCCATTTATGAAATTCTTGGATTTGCATTTTAGAATCTCATGGGATGATTGTCTGTTGGCAGATAATTCCAAGAGAGGCCGTAAATCAGATAAACAATACCCTTCTATTAACTCCAGAACATTACCTTCTTGTAGAAATGATGTTTGACTACTTTCCAACTCTGATTCAGGCACTGACGCATCATAAGGTGCACCAAGCGAGAGAATATCAGGAGTTGCAATGCTCGAATAATGAGCCTCTCCAAGGTCTTGATCAAATGAGATACAAATTTGTGACTCAGAATGGCAGGTCTGATTCTTATCCGAGAGAAATGCATCATCACATATCTCATCCATTAACCCAACCAACTGAGTTTCACTCTCTGTAACTGCACCAGAAGTGTGCAATTGAGAAGTTGCTTGTAAAGAATCACTACCAGCTCCTTGCTTCATCATGAAAACCTCTGCTCTCTTGTTCCTGCTGCACCTTATTCCATCTAGTCTGCAAGTGCACGACTGATTCCTCCACATCAGGGGCAAATAGCTGTTGAAGTTGGGCAGCTAAACGAAACAGACTGGACATGGTGTCATGGCAAGTTTCCACATAGATATGAGATTTTGAACATTCTACCTCCCAGAGAAGGCCATTATTACAATTAGTTCTCAAAATTGCTTCAACCAGTGCCTCCCTGGCAACTTTAACAAACCCAATCTTGTGTAGATGTTCTACACTATAAATGCCACCAACATCCTCAGGCTTTGACATTACACGGAGAAGAAGCCCAAGATCTTGCACTCTAATTCTGTAATCAGTTTCCACTGAGCCAGCCCTCGTTGAGTTTGAAAGATTCAAGGAAGATGCAGCCAAAAGACAAGAAACATGTTCCTCACCCATCTCTTCCTTGACATATGAAAAAATGGGCTCTGAAGCTTCACTCCTTATCACCACATTCTTGAGGTAGGGCTCATAGCTTAATCCAATATCAACCAAGTTAAGAACAAAGGAAGATCCGCGAGATGCACTACATTCATCCATTTTGTTACACTTGTCCACTTCAATTTCAGAAGGAATAATGAAAAAGGAGCATAGTGCATCTGCCCAATCCAAGCGACCACCTAATGCAACAATTGTGGCACATCTGACAGTTACAGATGTAGAACTATGGAAACTTTTGGGATCCCACAAATGTACAATATCAGAACCAGCTAGCCTGGAGGATAATGCATTAGAGCCCCCTCCATCACCGCGTTTCAATGTTGAGTTGCTGCACGCAATCAGAAGAAACTCCTGATCAGGAACACCAGTTACAGAACCCCACAATTTGCCTTCACCATGGGCCAGCCAGAAAAAATTGGCACCTGATATACCCCCAATATTGGAGACAGAAAGCATATCTAGCTTCTGAATTTTCAGTTTTAGCTGATGCCACGAACCAGGAAGTTCACTCTGTATTGAGCTTTTGACAATCTCCTTTACATCCAGGCTAATCAAAATTTCAACAAAATCACATTTAACAAGGATAGATGTCTGAGACGCGGAAGATGCTTCCTTAACATTGACTGAACCACAATCCGTGTTTAAGTCATTTATCATTTGATCTAAAAGACAATATAAACCTTCATATTGAGAATAGTCTAGGTTTATTGAAACAGAGGGTAGACAAACACATAGGAAAAACGCAGAGCTCAAGATAATCTCCTGTCGAGTTTGGGAATTCAAATCTTGCAAATCTTTCACAGTTGATACTGAAGCACATTCATGATCTTTTCCGACAAATTTAGAAATGCTCCTTGATTCCTCAAAACCAGCTAAGCACTTGGCTTTCTTTGCTATCCAAGGACCAGTCACATAACCCTCCTGCCAAAGCATACTAATAACAGAAAGAAGGCCTGTACTATTGCTGACTGACATTATATTTTTCGCAGCAAATGTCTGCCTCTGCATGTTTCCAGAGCTGATTCCAGCAATATTCTTGCTTGCAGGACTAACAAGGAAAGTGTCCAGATTACCAACATTCAAATGTAAAGAATGTGTGGCTGTTGAAGAATACCTTTTATCTGACCTTGCATCTAAAGTTGGGCCACGGTCTTGAACACCTTTGTTAAAATTTGATGGTGAAGAAAACTCAAGAGCAATAAATTGGTCCCAGGAACAGAAGCCTCTAACATCTTTACCACCTTTATGAAAACAGAGAATTATCCTTGCATTAGGAATCAATATATCACCTCGCAGAATATCTGTTGAAGACAAGGTCTTCACATGGCTAGAAGATCTTCTAAGATCCCCACGAGATGATCCATGCTTCTTATTAGAGATCTCAGAAGGAAACTCAGTCTGATTACCATTCGTTTTGACAGGCTTTCCAACTTCCTTGGACAGTTCTAATAGTGTATTTAGCAAAGAGAAGTCCACCCAAAAAACAAGATGTGGCAGTTTCAGTGAAAATGATGTTGTCCCACATAAACTCACATTTGATGTACTTGAACTCACAGTAAATTGACAGTGAGTAACACCTGAAGTTTTAAGCAATGTAGTTCTGACAACATCATTCTTGTACCCAAATGGAACCTCTTCAAATGAATCTTCAGAAGATGAGGAATGCAGAGGAAGGACACTTTGAACATCAGCTTGAAGATGTTGAACCGAAAGAGTACGGGCATTAATATTGGTATTAGACCCTTGAAAGCCAAACTCAAAGGTATCTTCTTTGTAACTTGAGTAATTAGCAACCTCGATATACTTCATTGTTCCGTTGAACCTTATCTCTTGAGGGCATACCTGTGGACCTTATCAGATGTTTCAAGTTAGTGTTGCTGACAATCATGTAGAACCAGATAACAAGTATATATCATAGATATCAAACTCAAAAGCTAAAATGCTCACCAAGCACAGGTATTACCTGCGTAACAAGAAGGATGTCTCGGCACTCTGCACCTAGGTACAGAACATCTGAATCAACCCCCTTAGAATCACAAAAATGCGTCTCTTTTTCATCTTGAAATGAAAATACGACAGAAATCCCAGCTAAAGCTGCTTTAAGATTTGTTTCAACATGCTGCTGTTCTGTAGACAAAGATTCAAATCAAAATTCCAGTGACAAAAGTCTAGAAGAAAATAAAGATACACAGTATGAAAACTTTACTAGCATAGAAAAATACCGGAGACTAACATTTAAAGACTCAACAAATCAAGTGCTTGTATATCTCCAGAAGAAAACTATATTTTCTTGTATTTTTTAACTTTCTTTCATGCTCTTCCTAAATGGAAATGTTAGATATCGTATATCTAAAAGCAATTAAAACATAGTTAATTTTATGCAAAGTTTCAAACTGAGTTCAACAATCTGGGTACAACTTGACACCACAAATATTCCTGACATTTCAATGATTACTGATGCAGTTTTTAAATTTTTATACAATAACTAACCCAAAAAAATATTAAAGTAGATATGCAATTAAGTAATTTACTTTAAAACTTCTAGGTTAATAGGGTTGATATTGCACTACCAGGTGGAACATGCAAAGATCCAGAAGCAAGGCTTGATGCAGCTGTGATAGCAGTGAAAACAGAACACGTCCAGTTCCACATCCCACTGTTACCTAATGCTGATTGGGAACTTCTCATTCCATCAAAACATTCAAAAAACTGATCCACACTGCACAAAGACCAAAACATTCAAAATACAGACAAATAAGATGTGTAAAGTTTGTAACCAAATGAAAAGAAACATATAAAAGATATTAATAAATTAAACAACCCTAGACGTATCTGAAAATTATGTCAACAGCGGTTCCTTGATGAAAACACTGATAGCAGAATTATACTAACCTTGCCTCAAAATCAAGTTCTTCAATACCATCCCTATTATTTTGATGGATGAAAAAGGGTACCCAATCTGATATAATATGTGACCTAGGTAACAGAGCTTCAGCCACTGATTCTTGTAGTGTAAAAGAAGAGGATTGGGTGGGAAAACTACCACAATTTTGGGTCAACTTATCTGCTGTAGAACAAAATGACCTTGGTGAAATACAGTGAGATGTTGAATCAAGATAAACAGAATCTGCTGGTTTGTGATTGCTCCTGTCTTTCACCAGACTTTTATATTTTTCCCAAGCAAGTAAACTCCATTTAATTGTGCTGGGCTGAAATCTTAATTCTACAGGTTCAATAGAAACATCTGCGTCTACTTTACGGATGTCTAAAGACCCATTCTTCCAAGGTATGCTTAATCTTATATTCCCTGAAAATCCACCTCTTTTCCCAACCAATATTGGTGTGGTAGCACCCGGTGGACGGCACCCTGGAAAGAATTCATCAAATGTTCTTTCTGACTGGCACGGAATGCACGTTTGATTATCAGCATCATCCATTTGAAGCAGTTCAAGTGATGCTCCTTGAAACTTGACAAAGTTGGTCAATTGACTAATCCCAAGAAAGTTGTCATATCTTGCATCAGAATTTTGACTATCATCTTCAGAAACACATGTTCCACATTCAGTTTCTAAAATTCGGAGCACCAAGGTTGAGGAACACCCTAATGTCTTTCCATCCTTCTCTAAACAAGGATCAAATGCAACAATTAACCTTTTTATGGTTACGTGGAAGCTCGTGAGAAACCACTTTACCATCTTTGCAATTGCTTTAACACCTTCATGCACATCCCTGGAAGCAGATTTTGCACCATCGTCTGCCATGTCACCATCTAACTTCCCTGGGTTGCCATCCTTATGGATGTTACAACTTTCGACACTAGCTGGTGAGTTATACTCTGCACATGGAATTAACACCAGCTCAAGTTCATCCACTTCAACCTCGCAACCTTTGCCCTTCCAAGACATTCTAACTACCAGGGAGCCAATAGATCCTTCTTTTATTATCAGGGATGCTGCTGCACCGAACTGTGGGGAAAGAAAAGAGTTGCCAAAGAAAACAATTAAACTCTAACAATTCCATGTAAACATCAATTCTGCATATTTCAAAAGGGAGCTGTTATTGGCACTCCAAAATTCTCATATTGCACTTCATACTTTCAATATTTAGAAAGAAAAATACAATTGTAAGGAGTGTCGATTGAGATTTTTGGATTGCTAATAACAGTTTCCATTCAAAACTATAGCTTTGTGTGGAATTATTTTAAAATTCACAAAATCCCTAAACAATTATCAAATCGAGACTACTCCGAATTCGGGTTTCAAACTTCAGCTACCTCAGGTGAGGCAAAATTCACATGTTTAGATAGAAAAACGAGAGTACCATAGTTTTATTTTACTTTTACTTTCTTGGCAGCAAAACACGAGCTAATACAAAACGAAACACAGAAAAGCGCGGGTGCGTACCTTCTGATTAAGAAAATCGACGTTAAGCGCGAGGTCGTTGAGCTGAATGGTGCCCTCGGAGAGCTGGACATCGAGCTGGTCGGCGTCGATGTCGCCCAATATGAATTGCCCCAATTTCTTCTTTAACAGGAACTTGCATACTCTCTTCACGGCCCACCGCGAGAACATCGCCTCCGCTGACTTCGCGATGTTCCACGGAAACATGGCAGCGGACTACGACGACGGCGGAGAAATTCGGAATTGAGTTGGAAATTTGTGGAATTAGGGTTTGGAGATGGGAATTTAGGAGGGTGAAACGGCGAGTTTCGAATTGGGGCCGCTGTTAGGTCGAGGTCGAACCCTCATGAATTTTCAGAAGAAGATTGCTTTTGATAAGGTGTAAGAACGCCAGGGACGATGACGACGACGGTGACGATGACGACGACGGTGACGGTGACGGTGATCGTTAATTTTTTTCTTTCTTTCTTCCTCTTTTTTTACTTTCGCAGATTTTTGGTGCCTGTCCACGTCTCGCGGGAATTTTAATTTCGGCGCGTATGTGTATATATATTGATATATTGATGCTCTTGGTGCCGGCCGTCTCCAACTCTCTTCGTATTTATGTAAACTTCTGTAAGAAGTTGAAGCGAAGAATCTTATTATTCAATGATAAAGTTGCAAATTTTTTTCCACATCTTTAAAAAATAAAAAATTTATCTTGCCTAAAGCTTATTTCTCTTCGCCCACTTAGTACTAAGATATTTTTCTTCACTTATAAATGAGAGGTCTTAAATTTGATTCTTGGATAAAGGTAAATTTGAATCACATTATTGCTAACTCATTGTGAGGTTAAGCTCACCCCCACCCCCACCCCCACCCCCACCCCCACCCCCACCATTTAGTATAACTAATAGCGTTTGTTAAAAAAAAAAACTTATTTCTCTTCGTGTTTTTTAACAAAAACTATTATTTGTATTAACGAGAAGATGGTAGGCTATGTCTCACAATGAGCTAGCAATAATGTGGTCCAAATTCACTTTTAGCGAAAATAGAATCTAAGACCTCTCACTTACAATTGAAAATGAATATCACTAAACCGTAGTACTAAATTATTTTTCTTCATGTTTTAGTTCTCAACGAAATTAATCGACAAGAAATTACATTCATAATTAAAAACAATCCTCAACTTGATAACTCAGGAAGAAATAATGAAATATCAACAAACAGATTGTAAAACTTTCGAGGTAGGTAGGTTTCATAATTCGACACCATTGATATATACACAGTTGATTAATTGAGAGAAAATTGGATTTGTAACTCAACAAAGAGATTAGGGGTGTATTCAATTGGGATCTTGAGATAGTATTCAATCAAGATTTTAAGTGATTTTCTAAAAGTCTAGATGTATCCAATCAAAATTTAAAAAAAAAAAGTTTATAACATTTTAAGTATATTCACTAAGAAATTGATTTTAAAATATTTTAAAAAGTTGGGGAACTCGAGAGAATTTGAGAGATTTTTTAGTGTATTTTAAGTATTCTTAAATCTCACTTCTTCTCCTAAGAATTTGAGATATTCACTCAAAATTTTATATTAAATCTCTAGAAAGCAATTAAACTCCATCAAAAGCTTGAAATTATAAACCTATTAAAATTTCTCAAATTCTAAATTAAATACACCTTACCCCATATTAACTTGATGGCTTGGGAAGAGTTTAGAAGACCCTTTAGGGGTTGGTTGAGTGTATGGTTATGCATACGGAGAAGGATTTGAGAGATAATAAAATTTTAAAGTCATGGTTAAATATATCAAAAAAGAAAAGGATTCCAAAACTATTTAGGAATTGCTTGGTTGAATACAGTTAGTTTGTGTATAAACTATGTGTATCAGATAAATTAAGAATTTATTCAAATTATTTTCTGTGTATGAGCATTTGAACTAAGAAAATTACAGCTCATTTATGTTACAACACTAAGTTGCTATTTTTTTTAAAATAAATGATATTATCTATATTAAGGGACAGTGAGCGGATTTAGCCTCACAATGGATTAGCAATAATGTGGTTCAAATTCGCCTTTGACAAAAATTGAACTTAAGACCTCTCACTTAGAAGTAAACAAATGCCACTAGACCATAGTACAAGTGGCAAATTACTATTTCGTATATTCATTATCCATTTGCAAGTGGTTTATTCTAACTTTCATATGATAAATGTTCTTTTAGACATTGACATTTTCAATAAAAACATTTCATTTACACTATAGGATCAAATTGTATTTACTTGACATGAATTGATTTATTTCTTTTCATAATTTGATCTTTTTTTAAAAGGTAAATAAGAACTTTTGAAAAAAAAAACAACATAAAGCAATGCGGTTCTTCTTTTCCTTTTTCTTTTTCGGAGCGTTTTAATACAGGCACCTCGCTTTGTAATTTTGTTTATTAAACATATATTCTTATTAAGAATTTGATTAAATATTTTTTTCTACGATTTTATTAAAGGTACGTTTAATTACATATAATATTGGTATATTTGAATTTCTGGTACATTTTGTTTCTTGGTACGTTGTGCAAGGGCGCTCGTCAACTCTATGACTTGTCGAGGCTGCTCTTTCATGTGCTCGGCTCATCTATGTTGTGGCAGGGTGCATATGGCCCACTTCTGGCAAACGAGGGAATTCTTCGCAGGCTGCAGGTTTAACTTGACCCGGATTAAGTGATTGCTTCTCTCTGTCCATCGTGCTGCCTGCTCCGATGTGATGTGGAGGATACTCCTTACGGGCCTAGCCGCAAATGAATGCTTTGCCTGGAAAGCTGCACATGTTGATTATCAGAGTGTGGCCCCAACCGTGAGTGTATACTTGTCTTCAGGCCTAGTCGATTGTGCACACTCCTCTGCGTGCTAAGATGAGGGTATACGCTATCTCGGGGATGTAATCGGGAATGTACAATGCCTGAACGCTCGGCTCATGACTGCTTGCCAGGACGCTGCTAGAAAGGTTCGTCTGCCCTTATCTTACTTCGGGACACTTCATCCGAGGCACGTTGGATCTCGATGCGTTGCAAAAATTGATTCATCAAGGTCCTCTGTTATGCAAGGGCACTCGTCAACTCTATGACTTGTCGAGACAAGTGTTGTTCACCATTTAGATTGGAAGAGCTTGGAAGGAACGTGCCTCATTGAACAGTGGAAGTGCGGTAGGCTTTGGGCGTGAGATTTGAATTGGGAAATGTCAAATCCGCGGAGAAATGTGGTGGAAATGCCCCCAGCTCGATGGTTGGTTCGGATGGTTGAGATAGTCTCGGGCCGATTTGGGTTGCTTGGAATGCCATGGGAGCAGGCTAGGCCACTAGAGCAAGCTGAGCCGCGGGAGCAGACTGGGCCACGAGAGTAGGCTGCTCGGCACATGATGCTTGCGAATGCGAGGCTTGGACTTGTCTTGGCAACACATTGGGCTCGTGTTGGGCATGGAGTGACATGGCTCGGGCCGTGGCTTTGGTGGTGTGGGCCTTGGATAGCACGGCTTGGGCCATGGTGGTAGAGCTATAGACCTCGCCACAGGTGATTGCTGTGGTGGCCACTGCGGTGGTTGCCATGGTGGAGCCTTGTGGTGGTGGTGCCGCTCCCTCTGAGATCGCATTTAGTCTCGTGGATCGCCGTGGTCTCATTTCTTAAATATTGGAATTTTCACTTATGGAATTTTCTAAGTTTCTAGCCATTGTATTTCTCTTTTATGTTTTATCAAAGAATCTCTGCAAATAAAAAATTCTAATAATAAGAACGTACGAAAAATACAAGTGGACTAGAAAATAGAGAAAATAGTGAAAAAACTTTTCTGCGCGAGAGTTTTCTACGAGTATGAATCTCAACTCTCAATGAAAGCACCAATTTGTGGATGCAAATTTTTTACTCCTTGATCTTGGACAAAATTGCACCTACAAAACAATTAACATCTTAGGTCAAGGCCAAGAACCTCATGCCCCTACGATGAATGGGGGGCTTTGGCTGAAGAACATTCGATGCCAAAGTTAGAATTTAGAGAGAAAAGTGTTTAAGAATTCTAGAGAATTTTAGCAAGAGTTGGAAGTCCCCTTTTTGGGAGAGAATGGAGAGTTTTTATAGGTGAATGGTGATTAATGGATTAATTAGGAATTAATCCATTAATTAGCCTAATTAATTTAATTTATATGGAAGGTTTTGAATGTTATGGAATGATTTCCTTGTAGAGGATATGGAGTAAAGATGGATGAGATAAATTTGAACTTGTTACCTATTTTGGGCACTCTTGACTCGGTTGATGGATGATTCTCCACTGCTCGCATGTAGGAAACCCAATGTGTCTCGAGGGCAATTTTGTCCTCTTCATCTAAAAATCCACTTATCGCCTCTTGATTATTTTTGCCTCCACATTTAGAATTTAAATATACGAAAAGTCGATACATTTATTTTCAAAAGTACCATAGGTTTTATATACATTTTTTGTATTACTATACGTAAAATTTGAACAATTTAATGAAGTTCTTTTATGAAAATATTAATAATTTTTTTAATGAAGGAAGAGACTAATTAAATATAATAAAAGAAATAAAAAGTTATTCTTTCTTTTGTTAAAAAAAAAAGTTACTCTTTCTTTGTAGTGATAATGAGGAACTAGTTGAGAAGATTGGGGGGGGGGGGTAAGGTATAAGCTAATAGACTCAAAGGTATCTTGTCCTCCATTATTTCGTCGGGCCAGAGTGCATTTGTTCCGGGTTGTTTGATTTCAGATAATTCGTTGGTGGCAATGGTTAATTCGTAATCTACCTATTAGTTTCCGTTCACCGGTGAATCAATTAATATGGCACTTCCATAATCACGCGGGAGGAGGGGGTGTTTTACACGGTCAAAAGTGGTTTTAAGGTTACTAGAAGGATTGTGGAATCTCAATCTCTTAGTGCTTCTACGTCTAATTCTGAGAGTAATCCTTATTTAGCTCTTTGTAAATTAATTTGGAAGGTTAAAATCCCTCCCAAGGTGAAAGCAGTGGCGAAGCTACGTGAGGGCGAGGAGTGGCAGCCGCCACTCCCCTCGCTGGAAAACACGATTGGAGCTTTGGTTCAACCCCTCCCCTCGCCTATCCTGTCGTCGGAAAGCCATGGCGTCGGTAAGCTGCCCATTGCAGAAGAGGCAACTCATGTGCGAGGAAGACGAAAAGAAAAGAAAAGGTGTGTTTTAAAAGAAAAACATTGGACCGAACGACGTCATATTCTCCATTCCTTTTAAATGAAACGTTGCATTTTACCTTTTCTTCTTTCTTTTGTTGCTTTTCTCCATTTTTTCTTTCCTTTTTTCTTCCTTCTATTTTTTCTTATGTTTGACTTGGTCCCTTTGTTTTTTATTAATGGTTTGTCTTGGTCCCTCGTTCTTTTGGTTGGATCTTTTGATTGGTCCCTAATTAATTGTTTTGGATGTGATATTAAAACTTTCAATACTTAGAATTACCTTAATGTTGATTTTTCTTTTATCACAAATGATAATTTCTACAATAAGAAGGTGTTGAGTGAATTAAGCCTCACATTCATAATCAAATTCGTATATCTTTTTCTAGTCATCACTACTTTTAACGAATTTCTGATTTGAC